CTTAGTTCCCAGGTCTGCAGATTAGGAAAGGATATGCCATAGCCACATCTGGATGTACTATAGATGATGAGATATTAGATTCTGGGCCTCATACAATACTGAATGAGGCTGTGGGGTTGAGTATATTTTATACAAAGGAGGAAAGTGAATTATGAATGGAGAGAGGACTGTAGAAGATTGTTTCTAAAAATGGTCACAGCAATTCCTCCACCATTTATGGGTTTTTCAAGTACGATTTTGTGGAGTCCACTTCTCTGCATCAGTCTGGACTGGTGTTAGGACTTACTTTGACCAACTGAAAGCTGTGGAGGGAACACTATGTGTTTTGGGGCCTGGGACTTTTGGTGGACTTGTAGCTCCTGATTTTTTATCCTCTTAGTAGCCAGATACCATGAAAAAGGATGGTGATCATGCTTTTAAAGACCATGGAAAGGAAGAAAGGACTAGCCAGCCCTTTGTTGCTCTTCCCATTCTTCTTAAGATGCCAGATATGTGGGTGAAGTCTTGTTAAATCATGCAGACCCAGATAGCCCTACATGGACAAGACACAAGTTATACCTAATGAGCCCTGCGTCAGCTGCAGAGCAGTGAGGATCATTATTATGTTTTTTACACAGCCAAATTCAGGGGTGGTTAGTTATTCAGTAATGAATGACTATAGCATCCTGATTGGTCAATTACTTCAAAACGGTCAAAGTGACTAGACATGATTATCTGATTACGTAGAACTAAGCATAAACAGCATGGTCAGATGATAGGTAAAGCATTGGAAGTAACTAAGTAACAGAGCTGGTTCTGGTTTCCTCTCCAGCTGTTCATGTGAGAAAATAAGCAAATTACTTAATCACTGGGAACCTCCTATGGGAAAAAAGGACTCTTTTGAAAACTGTATGAAATAATCAACAATGTATGTTTGAAAATTGCTGTTATTCTAAAAAAATCCAGTCCGCCATTATAACTTGTAAGTGTCCTCCTACAGAGAGGCATGTTAGACACCAGCTTGCCTAATGAAGATAACTGTTTTCTGCCTATTCCCATTGCTAAACTGCTGTTAATCAGCTTCTCTTTAAGGAAAAAGTACAAGTAGCTTAAAATTTCTAAAATGAAAAACAGTTCAGAAAGACATCAAATATTATTAAAGAAATGGCAAAATTAATATTGTAACAGGCATTTTGTGTCTGTAAATGTGATTTCTAGTTTATTTTAATAGCTATACTAAAACCCTATGGTACAGTTAATAGTATTATATGCATTCTGTCAAAAATAAGAAAATATCCTCAAATACAATTTCTAATTTATAAGCTTATGACAAGTTCAAGCTGCTGAGAAATTGGACTTGAAAGTATGTCTTAAAATGATAGAAGACTACTATTAACACTATCATAATTGTATACCTATTGCATCAAATCTGACATTCCAGTTTAATATATTTTGCTGAGAAAGCATACTATTTTATGGCTTCCTAGTGAAATCCAATCCAATCCAGACGTTTTCACTTTCCTAATGTAATGCACTGCAAGGTTTTAATGCTGCCATTTCTTTTCTTTCCGTTTCTCAAAAGATTGATGCCTGAGCATTCATTAATTCCACCAGTGTTCATAATGGGTCACCGAGTCAGTGGTAAGCACCTCCATTAACTGCATTAATTTACACTATGTCACCTTAATGACATTTTGTCACAGCTACCTTTTCTGACATCTATGTAGCTATTCAAAAAGTAATATAACAACTTTTGAAGGCATTAAGGAAAATTAGTGTAAGAACTTCTGTAAGTTGGATGTCACTGTTAGTGAGACTATGCTAGAAGAGAAATTTTAACATAGAAAAGAAAGGAAAGGAAGAAAGAAAGAAAGAAAAGAAGGAAGGAAAAACTAACTGTGTGCCTCATTCTGGAGACCTCTCTCCTGAGAGGTCACTTTGGCAGCACTCTTTCTTCCCCAGCTTGTCTTCATTAGCACAGGAAGAGACTGACATTAATAGAGAGAGACAGAATAAAACCATCTACTACAGTCTAGTTCTCTTCAATAGGATTATCTAAGTTAGTAGATTTGCAAAGATACTTTCATCTCTGGAAATGAAAACAGATTTTCTTAAAAATATAATAAAGGGTGCATTACAGTTTATGAGTAAGAAATAAAAAGCTTATTAGATTTTAACATAGCAAAATGATTAATATAAGTATTTTAAAGCAAAAAATACTGTACACTTTAATCAGTATGCTTATTGTTGAATTCAGAAAAATTCCAACTTACCACTAGCAATTGAGAAAAAAAATTTACCTTCACTTTAATTATTTGTCATAAGGTCACAGATTCTGATGTTGTAAAGGAAAGGGGAAAATGGGTATTTGGCTAGAAACACACACATATACAGCTGAAACGTAAAGCTGAAAGACTGAGAAAACATACTTGCAATTTGCAACTTTAAGGTCAAAAATCATTTTTAGGTCATTACAAAAAGACGTTTAAATCCCAAATGAAAAAAGGTCAAAGGTGTGTCATTCTACAGGTCAATAAACACATGGAAAATGCTGAACATCACTCAAACAAACGCAAACCAAAACAAGGCAACTGCAATTTTCAATTACTAGGATAGCTAACGTTCCACCATTTACTATAGTAGTGATAGTAGTGGAAAAGGAGGCCCCCTTACACACTGCTACAGGATATGTACTATCATTTGGGGAAATGACAGTTTAAAAATTCAAAATTTATATAGCCTGAGAGTCACTAGTCTGGTTAACAGGAATTGCCCATTGCATATGAATATGAAGTTCATCAAGGTTTCTGTGCAAGCAACTGTGTAGTAACAGCAAATTCTCTGTCAGTTGGAGACTGCTTAAGTATATTACTGTAGATCCTGAAGCCTGCAGCCTTTAGAAGGAAAGGAGTAGGTCAACACAGCAAGGTACTCAGATTGGCCATCACACAATATGAAAGATGCAGGGTGGTGGCAAGAACTGAAAATGAGAGCGCTCGACAGTCAGCAAGCTGGGGAAACGAGCTCCTTTGAACCAATTAAGTCTGGGGGGAGTACACTTTCGTTCAGTACAGCTGCTTGAGGATGGAAACAAAAACCTTCCCCATGAGTGACAGTCACGTTGGGCTTTGTCCGAAACATGCCTCTAGAAACACAGGTAGCACAACTGTGATTTGAACAAAGAGTCAGTATTTCTGAAATGATCTGAGCAGGAAAACTGTTGTTTTCCAGGAAAAGCCTGAAGTGCGACATTGGCCCCCGAGACTGAAAGGGAACCTGAGGTTCTTGATGGTCTAAAGTATGGGGGAAACTCAGGATTGAAAGTTGTCAAAAACTGTATTTACATAAATAAGTTAGGATGACTGACTCTGATTTGTGTCAGCATGGAAGTGCATCTTTCAATGCAGCTGAAAAAACTTTTTTCTTTCTTGAGATGTAGTCAGGTAACAGTGAACGGGTATTTTCATTCAAAATAGTTTGCTATAATAAGGATATAGCTCTGACTTAAGACCTAAGGAAGGTTAAATGTCATAGGAGGCTTCCAATTATAGGTAAGGATATTTATTTCACATACAGAATATTTACTGAGTGTTCTTTATAAAAATTGTGTTAATTCTAAGTACAACTGATAAATGACAGCCAATGGACTCTCATATTTAATTTATTCTCAAAGTATTATTAAATTAGAAATGGACTCCTTTCTTAAAATCACTGGTGGTAAAATTAGTTGAAATGATGGCACCTGGGTTTTTAATTCTTCACAAAAAGTTATAATATTGTTAGACTTTACAATATAATATTGATATAAGAAAATTGTTAAATTCCAGTTTAATATAAGGATATATACTAAATTCTCCTATTACTTCCAAATTTAACTATGCCATGTATAAACTAATAATCACCACCCAAGCTTTAATAGCAACAAATAAAATTTAGATATGCTATACTCTAGTTGTCTCTGTTTCATTTGTTTTCTGCTTTGGAAAAGAACAGAAGTTGGATTCACCCAATTTTCTTTTCTGTTTGGTAAATGTAACTGTCATGAATAAATATTTTGCAAAAGATAAACACACTTAAATTACTGACAAATTTTACTTTACCTAAGTGCTGTTTGCTTGGGAAGACCCTAAAAGAGAATAATACTATCACATTTTTATACTCACTGACACTAATGGAAAAATGCCTTGAAGAAAAGGAGCTTCAAAGAAAAAACAGTTACCGATGCAAGAACCTGATCATGAAATCTTATTAACAGGAAAAAAACAAGAAAAAGGAGAGAACAAATGCATTTCAGTATATTAAATACAATCTCTTTCTTCCTGTTTGCTTTCTTTCTTTCTTTCTTTTTCTTTCTTTCTCTTTCTTTCTTTCTTTCTTTCTTTCTTTCTTTCTTTCTTTCTTTCTTTCTTTCTAAAAGAGCCCATATGAATGAATAACAAATCTTTGTATTTAACAATAGTTAAGCAGTACCAACTGTAAAATGACTCTGTTCTCTGGCTGTTTCTGGTTGGTTTAATCTAATGTGTATTGTTGCATAGTATCCCCAGGCACAGTCAAGTAAAAGCTAAGGCTCTACAGAAAAGCCTACATTTTAAATGGGTCTTGTCATTAATGCTTTATTAATTGCCCCAGGCTACACACAACCAAAGCTGGGCAAGCTATAACAATATGACACATTGAGGTCAAATCCATTTCCCGCTGTGTTTTATGGAATGGGTCAAATATTGAGTGAACAGCAGGAAAGACAGTTTATGGGCTTTTCCTTCTATCTCCTGATTATTCCACCTAAATTAGACAGAAATTTTTTGAAATAATGAAGACATCTACTTAATATAGCAAAAAACAGCATTTTAAAATGAAGTTCGAGGTTATTTTTCTTTAAGGTTACATGTAACCTATAATTTTAATATTATGGAACAAAGCTACAATACAAAATGTATCATACACCCACTTGAATAATAAAAATCAAAATTTCAAAACATTTTGAAATTCAATTAATATCAACAAATGAAAGAGCCTACCTTTACGTCAGAAGTATCCCTCTGACTAGTTCTCCAAGATCTTGCAATGGATGAGAAGGTTCGATCTGGATGATCAAATTTTCCATCATTCGCATTGAGGAAGAAGGTTGTGAAAGGTTCCTAAACGAAAACCAGAAACGGTAATTTGGCCATTTTGAAAAACAGCTCTTCTCATTCCTTTGTAAAATCCGAGTAGGCCTCTTCAGTGAGCATGAGCGGGGCAGTGCAGAGCCTGGAGGAACGTGCACACCCAGGAGATGTGGCTTGGGGCCTGCCTGGGCCACACCATACCTGTTGCTTTGGCCTTTGGGCTTCTGACCTATGAAACGATGGTATTCCAGTGCTCTGCCATCTTATGATAAATGATTTTACATGACATTCATAGTTCAGTTTGTCTTCCTAATAGTGAGGACCATACGCACTAAGGTCACTGTAATTTTGATCAGGAGTCTGGTCAGTAGAAAATGTCTATTTTAGGGTACCAGGAAAGGCCTCCCAAGATTAGTTCTAGTGAGTAGGCTAATGATCTTTTAAAAATGCAAATCTCTGCTTAGTGCCCTTCAGCAACCCTTGGGAGCTTTTAGGAGAAAATCAGAATTATGTAATCTGTCTGAAGAGAGCCTAAACGATATGCAATCTGTTTAAACTAAGCTGCGACTGCTTCTTGTTTTTTGTGTGTGACATTCCCTTTGCTAGGGAATGCCTAACCAAGTAACAAAGATTAAATAATGTTCATTCTTATTAATGAGGATTTGTTAGGTACCTACAAGTATAGTGTAGGTACACATGTATTTCTTTTCCCTGTTTTAATTCTCTCTTAAATTGAGGATAAATGATATGTCATTCCTAGCTTTAAGGCTGAGACATCCACATGACATTTTTCTAAATATTTAAGTCTTTAAAAAATATATGAACTGTATTCATTCTTTTGAGTACGCTAATATCACTTTGCCCTTTTAAACTTTCTTCTCTACCTCTGTCCTTAAGGGCTGGCTATTAGGCAACAGTTACAAAGATTCATCTTTCTCAGTATCCTCTTGAATTTGGTGGAATAATGTATTACTAATATTTGATGTTTAGTTTTGAATGACAGAAAAGGATAGCGAAAGAGACAAACATCAAGAATGGTATGATAATACACTGGTAAGAGGGGCATTGTTAATTCACTTGAAAAGCATATATATGCACCCAGGAAAAACATATTGTTGTTTAAAATTTGAAGCCATATGAGAGACAGAGTCACTAAAATTAGATAAGGAATAAAAATTTTATCAGATATCTTTCACTGACTGCTTGCAGACTTTTAACTATTAAAATCAGGTAATGAAACAGTATATCTCATTACTAAATTAAATTGGAACACAAAATTTCTAAATGCAGCAGTGATAAATTGAATGAAATAGATCTAACTTTAAATCTTGGTTCAGCTATTTATTTCAGGCAAGTTACTTTACCTTAAATAACTGTCAAGTAACTGTCTCCCTTCCTTGGTGTAAACTGAGACTAACAATACTTTGGGCGCAATTACGGGAATTTCCTAAGATTAAATAAAATAACCTGGAGACAGTGTGATGTACACCACCTGATACAGTGCCAGAGACTGGCTGCAGCTTTACCTATTATGCCCAATACTCATTGCTGGACTCTCCATGAGGCTTCCAGCTCACCAGACTGCGAGACCAGGCTCTTAGTTCCTTTAGTCCTACTCACTGCAGCATCCCACCAGCATCAACACAGTGTTGGGCTCATGTAAATGTTTAAAACGTTTTTGTTGAACATACAATATAGACCTAAACATACAAAGTTACTCTTGAGAGATGAATGGGCGATTTTTCTGTTCAGTTCTTAAGCATTAATGGAAATTTGACTAAAAAATTTATATTTTTAGAACTCACTTCATTATTCTAGGATGAAAGACATCTTATATTTTCTCTGTGGGTTATAGGCAAAGATTAACTTAGGGATATCAGACTTGTCTCTGTTTTTAATCTATTAAGCAGATGTGAGTTAAAACTCATTTATACATATAAAGCCCTACTTTTTATCATCAGCCTCTAAAACCTGAATGTGACTATAACATACATTATAAAATCCTTTCTAGTTTTCAACCCTTAACAAGGCATGCTAAACAGCACTGATGGACATAGAGAAAAGAAAAAATCTTAAACAGAAGAATTTTTAAAATTTCTAGTAACAAAGTTTATTAATCTGGCATACTGAAAACCAGAAAATATTGAAGAAATCTACATTTTCTTCTCTCAAGTGGTTGTTAAAAGATCTGATTGTAACTGTTTTAGGGCCATATTCTACATCACTGACACAGATTCTCATTATTCCTGAAAGCCTCCAGTGGCTACAGTGGTGGAGTGCTAATAGAAATTGATAACCTATTTGTTTATGAGTATCGATCTTTCAAGCTCTGATTACTGTAGAGATTACTTTTTTCCATCTGTTTTCCTATTACCTTCCAGACACAGTACAAGGCCTTTCTTCCCATCTGACTCATGCCTGATTAACACAGAAGGTCAGGTGCTGTGTTAAGCCTATAAAGAACTTGTGTTTCTATTCACCTACCTCATCTGCACTTTGTGTTTCTATGGGTGTGTCAGCATTTGAGACATGTTAGGATTATATGTGAAAAGCTATCAGCTTCAGTAAAGTGTATAAATACATAAATAATAAACAGCAGCCTCAGTAATCACAATGCTGGTACTTGTTGGGCTGGAAAAACTCCTGGTCAGGTCCTGCAGAATCAATGACCTGTGGGCCCCTTTTTCTTTACCCAACTCTTATTTTTGTCATACATAATTTCTGCTTAATCATCTCATAAACATCTTTTAAAATCTTTCTTTCCTTCTAGGTCTGTTTTTTCATGACCTTTATCCTACTTAAAATCCAAAACCGAACACCATCCATGTGCAGTAGTGCTTTTAGCGTAACCACAGCAAAGAAGACACGCACATTTAAAGTGGTAGGAAGCACCGCGCAGGTTCAGGAAGGGGACCAGCAGTTACCGGCTGCCTTCCTGGGGAGGCACCAGCTTACCTCAGTTAACAGTCTTCACCACTATCTTCCAGAGCAGGAATAATTTACTCTTTCACATCGGAGAAAATGTAAAGTCATTTTTTGGGAAATGGAGGAACTACCATTTCTACCTGCTTTTCTTAATTCCACAGAGTTATTTTCTCTCATTTCTTTTTAAAGAACCCAGAAGTATTTTTCATACTCTTTCAAGTCTCTATTAAGTACCCTTAGGTACTGGAATCCAGTTAAGCAGTACCCATCTTCCTCTAATTCAGTGTATATTGTCCTTAAGAATCAGTATTCAGAATAAACAAGGCAAAATCATTTTATTCAGTAACAGTATCTTCAGGCTTTATTACAAACTTGCAAAAGTATTTCTATTTTTTTATTCCAAACATACACTTTATGGTTTAAGGAGGTTCTAGGGTAAGCTCCAAAGACAATATATAATTGATAATGAAGGTTCACAGTTCTAAACGTTATATTTACAAACTGACATTTTTAACACAACCTACTTAACTTTCTAAGAAAGATAATTAAGTATCTGAAAAATAAGTGTTAGATACAAGGGCTAAATATACTAGATTTGGAAGGTGATAAAGTTGTGAAGGCTAAAATGGTTAGTGAACAAGATTTCATTACTTCACATTGGATGCTATACATCCACAGCAGGGCTTCAAAACATCCCAGGCACAATGTGTCATTCTGCATTAATTACCATCTGAAGAAATTCCAAACTTTGATATGACAGTTTATCATCTGCTCCGACACTTACCAAGGAAGTAGTCTTTTAAGAGCCTTGTAATTTAGACAAGAGGGGATTTTTTTGCTCATTAGTATGTTTATACAATTATTATCATTGCCATATTTAATGTATGGACAAAACTAATAATGACTTTAATGACCAGAGGTCTAAAAGCCTTGAAAGGTAAAGGGGAGATACTTGTTTATTCTGCATTATATTTTTATGAATTAATTCTTAATGACACTAATTTTAATGCATTTTCTACTTCATAAACTCTTAGGGGTGGGAGTGAGGAAGTCACAACTCCTGGGCCATGATATAAACACTTAGTAAGACATTATGTTACAGGGAGCTGAGTTAGTTAGAAATATTATAGGCAGTCAGACAGGGCTGGGCCTTCAAAGGAGCCAGTGCAGAAGACCAAATATCTTATAACTTTGAAGGAGACAGACACCTCTCTTTGGGCCAGATCTCAAGAGAAAAAGCAAAACAGATTCAATCATATACTAAGCATAAACATCAGAGATTGATATTCTAAATAGGTATAGATCACCTTGAGGAAGCCAACGCGCTACAGGAAATCACTACTCTTTAAGCCTGCCTGCTTGCTAGGTGTCTTGCTTCCCCATTTATCCCTGATTTGGTCAGTTTAACCTGAACAATTAATCTTACTGATTGACCACTGGTTGACTTACTGGTTGACCATAGCTCTGTCCCATCTCATGCCTGTCTGCCTTGTGAGTTCCCACGTTTTTCCCATCTTGGACTCATCTCACATAATGGTTTTGCTATATAAAAGTCCCTAGAAAACACAGAGTCTTTGGCAACCCACTTAGGACCCCTTCTGTCCCTCTATCTCACACAGAAGCTTTCTATCTCTCAACAAATATATTCTTCTCTTAACCTCCAGTGTTCCTAAAATTCATTCTTTGATTTTAGAGAGCACAAACTCTTAACCAACATCTAGTAAGTTGGGAGTTTCATTTCCTTATACCAATAGCTTTCCAGATTCAAGTTTGCATTACATTCCAATAGAATAATAAACCAATTTAAGTATGAATTATAATTTATGATTTGAGAAAGCTTCAGAATAGAAGAGAGTTAATTTTAACCCGGAGAGCAAATGTTTTTGTGGGTTTGCACTTAAATAATGCTTGTAATTATGGCTCTAGATTTGACTAGGAGGTTTATCTGAAACCTACAGAATATCATTTTATATATTTCAAAATACTGTATTATTCTCATTTAATTATCAAAAGAACTCAGTTGAAAATGTGAGATTTTTTCCCTCTCCTAACATGGCTCTTTATCCTTTTATTCTATAACTAAGGCACCTAAGAGAGGTGTCCTATGCCCTCCATAACAGTGGCTCACTAGGGCAATGATTACAACTCATTGACACTGAGGTAGTATCGAAAGGACTCGCAGGGTGAAAATTTCTAGCTTCATCGTTTTGAAAAATTCCCTTATCTACTGATTTTGGAGGTCCCTCTGCAGAGTTTCAGGTGGACAACCTGATGAAACCAAGTAAACTGTGTAGTTTAAGAAGTCTACTTCAAGGATGGCTTAAGCTCAGGTACATCTTTTCTTAACTTTCACAGGGAATCTTTAATAGCAAATAGAAGATTAGCTTTACTGAGACTTTTTTGTTTCTCTAGGTATTAAAATTTTACTTCTCCTACTGAGTTTTTGTTTCTGGTTCACTCAGCTAATAAATCACTTTCCATTGGTAGTGGTAATGAATGCAAATTTAGTTTTATGGTCCAATCGTGGTAAGTAGAGAATCTAAATTCATCAGTCTTTTCATTTTCTTATCTATTTGTGAACTCAAATCAACTAAGATCATATTTTATGTTCATTGTAAAGGAAATCAACTGCTTAAAATTTTCACTGATAAATTTTGGTGTTTGTACAATTTTGAGCTATAGCTGAAACTTCAAGATGAACACTATAAACTCTTATATGACAGTATAGAATTTGGAGAGTTTCACCTCTTGCCTGAATGTGAAACATTATTCTGCTGTTAGAACTAATTGTTGCCACTCATCAACTACTGTTGTTCTGTTATGACTGGTTTATAGCAATACATAATACTAAAATAAATAGAATTTTCTCCAAATTAACAAAAATAAAGAAACAGAACTACTAATATTTTAACAGTGTTAGAGTTTTAAAGCTCTTTTTAACATTTAGTCTCTAACACGAAAACATTTTTTTGTTTTTTGGTTCTTTTTCTTTTGGTACTGGGGTTCGAACTCATGATCTCGCACTTGCCAGGCAGGTGATTATGCCGCTGGGCTAAACCCTGGCCTCACAAAGACATTTTTATAAAATAATCCTAGTTCATAAATTAAGCCAAATCTTTGGACACATTAGACAGATATGGCAACTTTGCTCTAAAGAAGGAAGTAGTAGTTTATGTTTTCACTTTTAGTTCATCATTACAGAGTTTATTTCTTTAAAGAAAGGTTGTGAAGTAAGAGTTGTTAAGTAAGGGATGTTTTCTCAAGGGACTAGTTAATGTAAAAATCTGGTATAGAATTATCAAAAATACAAAAGTTGTATTCACTTACACTGAAATATAATTCTAATAAACTTTATAATAATGATAACAACGTTTATGTCACCTACTACTGAATTATAAGCTACTTAAAACATACATGTATTAAATTTTCAGAAATTTGATTTCAGCCTATAGTGGAAATTACTTGAAGAAAACCTCCAAATTAAACTTGCCCTTTAGGTTTAGGGAAAAATATTTTTGAAAAGGGAGAAGCTCACTCACACAGCTTTTTCAGTGTTTTTGAGGCATGTGGGCCTCATATAAGTAACTAGAGAAGATATTCTAGTAACTAGAGACGATAACATTGATGCTATTGCTTTGACTTAGCATTCTCCAGTGCTCCTCAGTCCTTTACAGAAGACAAAGAGACAAACAGCACACACACACACACACACACACACACACACACACACACACACAGAGTGTCAGAGAAATAGACCAAGAGAAAGAAATGGAGGAGGAGGAAGAGGAGGAAGAGGAAGAGAAGGCAAAGGAGAAGAAGGAGCTAGGAGACAGACAGACAGACACACAAAAGGAAGAAAAGGAAAATCAGACTATCTGACTCCAGTAACTCCTTCTAACTACACTAGATTGGAAAAAGTAGAAACAGCATAAAGATTTGTCAGGAGCTTTTGCAATAATCTAGATGGGAATAATGGGAACCTAAACTAAAGGAAGTCGCAGAGGTAGCAGAGAAAAGGTAAACTCTATGGACGTGTCTGTATATAAGAGATGGTAAAATGAAGAACATATCCACTGACGCTTCCCCACCATCAGCGAGGAAAATGATTATGCCAGTTATTTAATTAGGAAAAACATGAGGAGCTACTGCAGGCTCATGAGGGATATGTGCTGAGTTTTAGGAAGGTGTTTATGGTGTTGTGAGAAGTTTGGGGAGAACTGTCCACAGGCACTTGGAAACTAAGGGGCCCATGAGAAATGTCGTGAGAAAGACAGAGGCTGGAAGTTACTAGTGTAACGGAGTGATACAGGTCAGCCAAAGTACACAGCAGATCCCAAAGAACAAAAGATAAAGGACAACGAAACTGAGCAGAAGACCGAGAGGGGACAGTTAGAGCAACAGGAGAAAATCCAGGAGAGGGTAATTTAGAATATCCAAGAAAGAAAAGAATTTCAAGCAGATAAACTGAGTGGTGGTATCAAGAGCTTGAGTGACAGATGGCAAGGCTCTTTTCAAGTAATGAGTGACCTTAAAGCTGGGGTGCGGAACCCAGGAGGTCAGGCTGAAAGCTGAGGGGAGGAGATGCAGTGCAAGGTGCCAGTGCCCGGTGCCCAGTCCACAAAACGCTGTGCTTCTGGCTCAGGCTGCTGCACGAGTAAGCAAACTGCAGAATGGGTGGGCACTGGAAAGAGGCTTTTTTAAAGACTGCAGATGCTTAATATATTTATGTTTTAGGAAAAAGAGACAGTCATAGAAAGAGATCTTCAAAACATTTTCAGTCTGGTTTTAAAACATGCTACCCAAGAATCAAGACTGAGTATGCCAAGCAGGTGGCAATGTGCATTCTTAGTGAGAAAAGAACCAAAGGATGTGCGCACAGGGTCAGCTCCTTTACAGCTAGGGGCCTCGGAGTGGGGTAGCCCAGTGGCAAAAGACGTGCTCAGATGCAGCAGTCCCTGGATTCAGCCCATACCACCAACAAAAGAAACAAACACTGCCAAGGCTTTTAAGTAACTGATTCAGGCTTAGGAAGCTTACAATAATATTTTGAACTCAATTCTGCAAATGAGACAATTCATTTTTTAAAAAAAGATTCAGCTTTTGGTAGAGTCAGGAATCTGTAATTTTTACTTCATTGACCTCTGATCTTCAAAATGAATAACAAGTGAATTTGATTTTCATTTAATTTAATTATGTTAAAAACTTTAAGGTACAGACAAACTAAAGTAAAGAAGATACTCACAATTCGAACAAGCCACGATAAGGTAGATGTCCCTGTTGAGTAATGCGTATTATAGTGGTAGGGCGGGCTCTGCTCATCTTCCCAGGTCTCATAGCGCTCTGCATAAAACACGGCTCTTTTTGGATTCAAAGCACCAATTGGCTATCAAAAGATAAAAGGAGATATTTTAATACATAGGAGACATTTTGTTTAATACAATCACATTTTGTTTAATATAATCCAAATGATGAATATTTCACTGATAGTTCATTTTAGGCATGGAACATAATTTTATATTATTTGTATTTTTTATCAAATTTGATTTTTTTTTTGTCTTTTTCGTTTTTATCGGTACCAGGGATCGAACTCACGACTGCCTGCTTGCAAGGCAGGCGCTTATGCTGCAGAGCTAAATCCCCAGCCCCATCAAATTTGATTTTGATTTTGATATTGATTATAAATCACTGCACTTCTTAAATCACCCAAGAGGATTGTCATATGGGAAAGTTTCTGAAATTTGCCACAAGTTTCAATCAACTAGATTACCAGAAGTGATCTAATTTTAATTGTTAAGCCCAAACCAACGTTTCAATGTTATTTTCCTGTCTCCTTAACACAAATATTGACAGTTTAGCTTGGAACAGAGGAAATCCAATGAGAAGGTACAGCAGTGGATCATGTGAGGGATAACCAAATCAGAGAAACCCTTTCCTAATAATAATGTATATCCAGAATATCCTTCATATGAAAACACTGCTAGAAAGCTAATCTCATCCTGCTATTACACAGATGGGACAGCCAACTTTTTCATTAATGTAAACTATACATTTAAGGGTGGCAAATATAAGTTGACAATTCAGAGTTCCTAGAAAGTGTTTTTCTTTTGCTAAAACTACTAAGACCTTGCTTAAAAATACCACCACAGTATTTATGCATTAGCATGCTAATTCCACAATCTATTTTTCCTTCAGTAAGGCATATGTTAATTATATCACTACCTCAAACTTCTCAGCACACTCACTGTTAAGGCCATAATATTCTCATTATTATAAAGGACAAACTGACTCAGTTTAAGTTTTTGCCTGATTTTTGGCTTAATAGTATATGGAAACCATATCCAATAGCTACAATTATTTTGTTTTACATTGTGTAACTATAAAAGTAAATGTTTACAGAGAAAACAAAAGATGAGAATTAAGTATAATGTTCTTTTAGTTCAAAATTTAACATTACTAGTTAACTACAAAGTTCCCCCCAAGGCTTAATTTTCACAAGTAGTAGAAAATTAGTGTTTCAATGGGACACATAATGTTACCAAAGAGAGAAAGATTCATTTATAAATTGCTGTGAGGCGTTTCTTTTGGTCCCAGGAGACTAATTCAAATAACACAATGATGTCAGCAGTTAAAGTCTACTAGAATTTCCATAATAAACTCTTATATGCAAGGGTGCTTGTCCTGAATATTAAAACTATGTGGAAATTATATTCATTTTTGTTAACTTTAATTATGACTTAAAGACCAAATAATTTAATTATATTTTTAAAAAAGCTCTATTTCTTGAGTATAGGAGCATTAATAGTTTAAATTTCCTTAATTATCTTGGTCTTAATTTTTGTAAAATAAAGTATAAAATTTTGGTTTAAACATATTTTTAAAATATGGAAGGCATAAACTTTACTCTGTGTGAAATCTCATAGTTACATATCAAATCTTTTTTCATAGACATAAGAAAAGCAAGGTAATTTTATTAACATCATCTAAAATCTTAATATTTAAAACAAACGTATACAGTAATTTTTTGGTAAAACACTAATCACTATAAAGTAGAATGAATAGAAGTTACATTACTGAATTGAAATAAAATTTTCACTTAAAATTGCCTCCTTATTTTCTAGATGTGCATATGTTTTTCTAATTCAATAAATATATTTTTTAAACCACTTAAAATGCTTAATATTTTTCTCTGTCTTAAATATACTAATAGATCTTTTCACATACATAACAGTCCTCCCAATCCCTAGGGATCAACCTTATCAGATACTGTTTGTTCTCTAAGACCTCATAAAACATTCTTGAAAAGGAACATGGCCCTTCCTTTAATATTTTCCAGTTCTCTCCCTAACTACTGGGAAAGGGATGAAATAAATATTTACATTTTCCATTTTACTCAATTTTCATCAGTCATTTTATTAGTGTATTTTATTGAAAAATGCCTGGTGGGAAATAGCTGCACAGTTTTAGAGTCTTACATGATTCCATTATTAACTGCTTACAACATACTTCTAGTTTTAAATCCTTGTAGAATGCAGTTACAAATGTAGTTTATGAAACATAATGCATATAATTTGGCTTGTACTTGCTGTTTTCGTATCATATCGCTCCTAGTAGTCAAGAAACAATAAACCACTTAGAGAAAAACAACTTTGAAATGTTTGAGCAATGAGAATTTTGTCATAGATGACATGTTTTCTTATGATATCTAAACGTATCATTTCATGTTTGTCTATTAATCAATTATCCGCCTATTACCTCATTACATCTCAATCTAGGCTAAGGGTGCTAGGTTGCTCTTCTTTTTAAATTTTAGGAAATAGTGCAATGTCAGTACTGTTTCGACTTGGTAGGTGAGTACGGTAAGAATTCTGGTGGAAAAGTAAACCATACTTAGTGACACAATTTAAATTTGTCATCTTTTTCAATTTATCATAGCTATTCTGTCCACAGTGGACATTTAGATATAGCCACTACTGTGCTTTCCAGGCAGGACCACATAAAAAGTTTTCAGTGAAAGTATAAAACTGGGGATGAGAACTATTGTTCTTTTGTTTTTGTGAGTTTTTATGTTATAAGCAAACACCGTAACACATGAGAGAAAATCATGCAAACAGGTCATGCAAAGATGAAAAAATTGGTACACCTACAAAATTTTGTAAACTGCTATAAAGCCTAACTAATTTTTAAATGTACTATTCCAAATATGAAAGAATCAAGTGACTTGTGCACAAAAATCCATTGTCTGTAAAATTTGTGAGAAATTATTTGTGAGGTGTTATTATTCCTATGAAACATTATCATATTTAGTGAAGAAATGCATGCTGAGAATTTTCTTCACTCTTACCACTCAATTTCCCTTGCTTAAAGACCAATGAGAGAAATCTGTCTCAGACTGAAGTGCATTAAAAAGCTCTATTTTCCTAAAAAAATTTGCAATTATTATAAGGAACAAAAATCCTGACAGATACTTATGTAGATTAAAGGCTCTGAGAATTATGGTGTTTAGACATGTTTAAATTTGTTTGCTCCAATATTTCCATCTTTGTTTTTGTTTTCTTAACAACTGTTAACACACAGTAGAGGAAGTACTGCTTAGACTGCACTTTGATAAATTCTAGTAAGAATCTTTTCATTATGTCTTTGAGTGCTAACATTTTTGGCTTCCTTTTGCTGTCTTCCCATTTTGTTCATTTAATCCTGAACTTTTCATGATATTTAAAAAAAATACTTTAAAACCATCTGCTAGAAAGTAGGAGACAGACTTTTGGAGTCAGGGAAAAGTATCAGTGGGAGGAAGAAAGGGGAGAATGGGGTAATGGGACAGCAAATGATTACAGTATGTAAAACACACATACTTATTTCCCAAAATGAACCTCACAGGTCTCTATTGTTAATATGTACTGACTGAAAAAAATCTTCTACATTATAGCAACCATTTTTGTGGGAGGTGCAAATGTATATAAATTAGATGAGCAAAAATTACTGACAAATTATATAAATAAAAATATTACTGGGTACATATAGAAACACTAGAAGAATTTTTAGAGAAAAGTCTCTATACAGACCTAGACTGATTTGATAAATCAGAAACAAATGTTGACTGATTTCAGGAATGGTCAATGTCACCAAAGTGGATTGTAATTTTTAAGAAAATGTCTTGGAGCTGGGCCTGGTGGCACCTGTAATCCTAGCACTTGGGAAGCTGAGACAGGAGGATTATTGCAAGTTCAAGACCAGCCTGGGCTACTATGTGAGCTCAAGGTCAGCCTGAACTGCATAGTGAGACCATCTCAAAAAACAAAACAAGACAAAACAAAACAAAACAAAACACGAATATGTCTTGGCTACTTTTCTCTAGTTGCTGAGATAAAATACGGGACACCCAAAATAAACGAAGGAAAGATTTATTTAGCTCACTGTTTGTGGCAGTTTTAGCGCATTATCAGCTGGCCCCAAGGCACAGGGCAACACTCCAAGGGAGTGGCGAGCAGAAGCAGCCAGAGCAAAAGTGGGAAAAACAAGCCTCTTTTCCTCTCTTATATGTATGCAGGCCACCCTTACCCTTAACCCTCGGACAGATGGAGCACTCAAAAAATCTCTGCGTCCCCTTCTTGCGCAGAATGAGGATATTTATAAAGCAGGGATCTTGGCTTCCTGCTGAGTCTCTTAAAAGTATAAACTTCTCAAATTGACACAATGTATCAACCATAACAGAATAAAACAAGTTCTGATGGTTAGATTATTAATTTTGTTAGTTCACTGAAAAGAATTGTTTGTGCCTATATTGTTTGATGAAGTTTTCATGCCTGTATCTTGTAATATGAGCAACTACTTTGGCAATAACAATAAACAATGTTATTGCCAGAATATGTATTGTATTGAAGAATGTATTGTAACCCTCCTATTACCTTGTTTTGAAATTTTGTATCATTGTTTTTCCTCTTAAAAAAAGAATAATAAAATTTTCCAAGAACAAACTGAAGATCCAAGTCAAGTTATCCTAAATTGAAAAAAATTATTTTGAGAGGGGTCTTGTTGTCTCGTTCAGGCTGGCCTCAAACTCGAAGTGATCCTCTTGCCTCAGCCTCCAGATTATAGGAGTGTGCCACAATGCCTAGCCTAAATTGAATTTTGATACATAACAACAAACAACTAGAAATGCTCATGATCATTGTAATAGGATTCTTTTCCTATATACATATATTTTTGAAGGGTTCATTTCTATTGCTTCTAATGCTAATGATACTATACATCTGTATAAGACATAACCTTTACATTTATTTTCCAGGATGATTTTGTTAAGTGTCTAGGGTCAGTAAGCAATTCATTAGGCCTGTACTCTTTCTGTATCACTGTATTACATTTTCACTGGTAAATCTGAAATTT